ATTTTATGGAGAAGCACATGAAGATACTTCTTCTCAAAAATAATTATGTCACATCTAGAATCACTCCCAAAACGAATCTAAGGGCCCATTATATCAAAATGAAAGAGCACAAAGAAATAAAAGGGCATGTGTTTTGTGCCCATTATAACGATGCCGTTTGCTGTGTGGCAAAAGAATGAAATGGGCCAAGCATTGAAAAGTGTGCCCAACCAAAATGAAGCCAAAACAAATGGGGCATTCCGAGAATTGAACTCGGGACCTCTCGCACCCTAAGCGAGAATCATACCACTAGACCAAATGCCCTTGTTGCTTTTTCACGCAAAGTAACTTTATTATACCTTGATTTTACTTTAATGGTCGTCTAAACAATGGCATTTTAATTATATTATCGAAGTAATATTCATTGGAGCGTGCGACCAAACAATAAAATAGTTTCATAATACGTGTGTTATGGGTTTATTAATTATTTTGTTTTTAGTTTTGTAAATTTTGAATAATTTTTCATTAGCATTTAGGAAGTGGAGTTAGTTCTTGGGGGTAATAGTTACTTACTAGGAAGTAGTGTATGCTCTGCAAACCTGGGTTAGTGGAGTCTTGTTGCAGTCCTATTTTTCAGATTAATAGTTGTAAATGTATTTAAGGAATTTTTTTTACCTATGTATGAGGATATCATTATGAAGCTATCCAAAGCCAATCACCCATTATCATGTGTTTTAACTTTCCGCCATGATAATGCGTAATAGGTTTGGGATACCACCATAGTGACATCCCTGATACATGTAAGTTCTTCTCCTCTTTAAGTCCATGTAGACTTGAATAAAGATAATTAGAATTGGTTAGTCAAATACTTCAGTTATTTAGAGGTCAAGGATTACTCCATAAAAGTCCAATTCCATAAATTCATTGTTTTTTCCCTAGACCTTGGATTGGACTAATTTCATTGTTTTTCCACTTTAACCTTGGATTGGAGTTGGGTTCCATCTTGACCTTGGAATTGCTTGACCCCGACCTCGGCTTGGATTTTAGACCGCACCCAAAGAAAAAGATTACTCCATAAAAGCCCAATTCCATAAATTCACTGTTTTTTCCCCAGTCTTCCCCCCTTGTCCATATAAACGGGAGACATTGGTTCTAGATTCAAAGAAGTTTGCAATGGCGATCATTCATGGGAACGTGAAAGAAAAGCCATAAGCCTTGAAAACATGAGGAAAAACCAACGAAAACATCCAAAAAATCATCCATCATAAAATATATACACAAATACATATACAACATTTCAACATTTGTTTGGTTAACTTTGTATTTTCCATATTTTTATGTCTTCAAAATTTTAATTTTACGTAGTCTACGAAATCGTACCAGAAAAATTAAGTGCATACTAACTATTTTAAAGTGTCAATAATAATTTTTTTAAAATAATCAATCAAATATAAAGCGGTTTCATTTTTTTTCAATTTTTTTTTGGGTAAAACTCTGGTAGTAGTTAAAGCTACAATTAAAAATCAATTCTACAGTGGGAAGCCAACTATGACAAGACCAAAATATAAAATCCCCCAATTATTAGTCGTGCGTGACTGATAAAAATATTTACATATGCTTGGATTGGAAGCATCCCCTTCACGCAAAAACATAAATTTCTTTAGTTTGGCCAATGAATCCAAAAGGTCATATTCAATATATGATAATACATCAAGAGGACTCCGAATCGAATTTGCCCTTCAAGAAGGCAACTTAGTTGACTTGTTGAATTACAGTGACAAAAATCTCTACTCTTTAATTAGACAAAGTCCCATCAAGCCTTCACATATATAAATATATATACCTCATAATGTGAGATTTGAACTTACCTATACTTATTGATCATCTTGACGACTTCTCTAATACGGGAAAAACGTACATATATCAGGGATACCACTGCGGCACTATCTCAAGTCAATCACCAATGTATTTTAATTTTTTAACATGGCAATATATGATAGGCTTGGAATTCCGCCACAGTGATATTCCTAACATTACATGTAAGTTCTTCTCATCTAATACAAATGGGCCCCACCCGTATTAAGTAGATGATCAATAAGATGGTCAGAAAATATGGTCCAAATGGCAACGCTCTTTGAACATTCCTAATAAGACATCTTGGTTCTTCAAATGTGGTTTGAGTAAGACATGTAGCTTTGTATCACATGAACTTTTCAAAATTTGAAAATATCCAAGCGTGACTTGTAAAGTCCTCACAATCATCACAATTATAATAACAAGGTTAAAAAATTAACTTTCAACAGCAGATAACAGGGACTTGCTTACACATATAAATAATATAATTTGCAATAAGTATATATTTTATATTTGTCTAATTTTGTATGCATGCAATAGTAGTACTAACTTCCCCAGTTAAACCCTTATGGAATTCTAGTTCAACATTGGATGGCTAGTTTTGTATAGTTGTCGAGGTCACGTTGTGCGTGTGTCACCAATATTAATTCATAATAACACTTAATTACATACATAATCTTGTATAAATAATTATGATTAGGATCTTTTTGTGACACGTAGATGTTAATAGAACAAATAAATAAATTATAGGGAAGAACATAACTTAACTTTAGCCAACTCATTGACCAGTGATTAACAACTTTGCTCATAATTAGACCAAAAATCCAATAAATAAAAGTATTTAAACCAATACGTTTCGTCTTTCCATTTTTTTCCAATAAACTTGGACCAAGAGCACGATTAGATTATATAATTCAAGTTTAGGAAAATAGATTTTGTATTAGCGTCCTACAACTTCGAGCCTGAAGGAATAATTCAATATTAGATGACCGCATTTAGGTTAAATATTGACAACATAACACCTACACAACAAATAAAAAAAGAAAGAAAAACTTGTTTTCATGTCATTATTTATAATATAGTTGATCGATTACCTTAACATAATAATGTGGGAGAACTAGATTAATAATTTTAAGAGGACTTGGATTCTCTAGAAGAGTAAAGTCATGAACAGTTCAACTCTTTTATGGATGCCTAATTCTATTATTAAGTATAAATTTATGATTTAATTATAAGGATTGATGTCTATTATCTATATGAAGATAGGAGAGTTGTATATGCAAAATTGCTTGTATTTGACCGGAGTTCGGGCTAAAGGTCTTCAAGTGTGGCATGTTCTGATCGGCCGCCGGGAAGTCGTAGTCTTTTGCGATCTTGACATTACATGTGTGACGTAAGATCGGTGATTAATTTACTAAACCATAACTAATTTTTATAAAATAAGTGTGATGTGCACTTGCCCTAAGAACTTATGTATCTTTTAAATAATCACGATAAGTGCTTGCCCTTTAGACCAAAGACTAATCAGACGAGACGACTTCCACACTAATTGAGTCATTTTGGGACGAAATCTTGTATTAGCTTTTTCTAATGATGCACAATGTGTCATTGTCATTATCTATTATATCCCTAACTTTTCTGACTTGTCATCATATAAATTCTAGTGAGGAATTACGATATCTTTTTCTGAACTAAATATTTATTCCCTTTGAAAAGCTGCACATTCGTATGAGAATTTAATGTTGGTTGAAGAGTCATCAAAGAAAATTCACACGAAATGTGACGGCGAAGGAAAAGAACTAACAAAAGTGACAAATGCAATGTATTGAAATGTAGTGAAGTTCAAACTCAGTTAGGTTTTTTCTATTTTGTTTGAATACTCGGCAGGCTTGGAATAAAAGGGCTTCAAATTAGGCGTCAATAACCATTTGTTTTGGTTGTTTTGGGTCTCCCATGGTCCTCTTCTGCTCTTAAATTCCCTACCACTAGCCTAGGTTGATGTGTGCTAGCTGCTAGTTGTCAAAGTTTTCCTTGTTATGTGCTTTTTTTTTTTTTTTCCATTAAACTATAAATTCTAGCTTTGCTTCTTCCACAATTATGTAAATTTTTTGTTATACAAGTATAAATATTCTCTAAATTAATATAATCTAAGAAAAGAGAAACTCGAAATTGAGCGCCAAAAAGGGACTCACTGCCCTAATCAACTTGGCCGTCTCCTTTGCACAATCATGCGTAGTTGTTGAAAAGCATTAGTACATGAGGAAGAAATTAACACCCCAGCCAGGAATAACGAGTGAGGAGGGGCTTCTAGAGGAGAGGAGATTATCAATTAATGTGCTGTGTAAGTCTGCATGGAAGTTATAAAACGCAACGTAAAAGTCACCAAAAACGGAAAACAAAACAAAAGATGCTTTGGGGGTTTGCAGTGAATTGCAATTATAACAACAACAAAAAAAAAAAAAAAAGATGCAATGCAATGAGAATCACTCTCTTATATGGAAAATTGGCAATATAAGAGAATCAGGCTCTCTTGTGTGTGGACCCAATTTAACATGTTCATCAAAGTTCAACTCCCATAAAATTCAGATGGGAACGTATAATTTTGGTCCGGTGTATGCATTGGGACTGTGAGGTCAAGTCAAAGTCCTTTTTCATTGGAAATTGTGAAAGTATAATTTTAGTCCTGCATATGCATCGTGACTGTGAGGTCAAGTCAAAGCCCTTTTTCATTGAACTAAACTTTATCGACGAATCAAAAAGGACAAACACGAAAATTGTAAAATGCGGTACTTCTTCAATAAATAAGTTGGCACCTGTGTCAATCAAAGAAATAGGGGCTAGGGGAAGAGGGACATGTAAATTGGGGATAGCAGATCCCGACTCGAAATATATTGGGGGACCAATCAGAACTCATCATTACTCTTCTGATCAGATCATCATCTTAGTCGGTTCACTGCCCTGGTCAACAAAAGCGAATGCAATTGTTGTCCTATAACATTCATGCAGTGATAAAGAAGGTTGCCCAAAATAAATGGGAACCACACCTGCCCTAACCACCCACTTTTGGACGTTTGCGCATCGCGAAGATATGGTTTACAAATGGGACCAAAAAAAAACTTAAATATAAACCGTGGCTTGTTTTTTCGGTCATAAAAATATATAAACCGTGTCAAACCATGTTTAATGGATACGACCTTCACGGATGCAGGTTTTGCTTAGAGCCGTTGGACTTTGGACTTGAACGCCCAAAAAAAGTCACAGGAGCACAGAAGATTTGAACGTTTCATCTTTCTTCTCTGATTGGTCCCCCTCATTGGCTTTACTTCCAAGTATTTAACTTCAAGCGCCTTTCTCCGTGGGTTCTTCAGGTCATCTCTTCTTTCATTAATTCCTTTCCCCCATTGATGCTGACTCTTTTTTCCCTCAAGAGCACATAGCAAGTATGGCTTCTGGAGGATCAGCAGCAGCATCCAGCCGCTCACTTCAAGACACACCCACTTGGGCTTTGGCAACAGTTTGCCTTGTCTTCATTTTTATCTCTATCTTTATAGAGCACTTGATCGATCTCCTTAGCCAAGTATGTATCTAATGACCCTTCGTAAGAAATTACCATCTTATTTGTTTTTGAAATTGATTTCACTAATTACACCCTCTCTTTTTTCTTCTTTTTGTTCGTGTATTTGATGATGCAGTGGCTCAAAAAACGTAAAAAGAATGCCTTGTTCGAGGCCGTAGAGAAGCTCAAATCAGGTAAGCAAAACGATCGAACCGATGACCTGTCCTAATTCCGACCAATTTTCCCGAATACCTCATCACTTGACAATTTTGCAGAATGTATGTTCTAATTGATGAAATTTGCTGAATTAGTTTTTTTTTTTTGGTTGGGTGCATGCAGTGCTTATGCTGCTGGGTTTCATGTCCCTAATTCTGACAGTGTCACAAAGGTCCATATCCAAAATATGCATACCCACAAATGTTGCATATACCATGCTTCCCTGCAGAAAAAGTGCACCCACTAAAACCACCAAAGCACTTGGTTTGGAGCCCATTCAATTCATGGAAAGAAGACTAGCAGCAACTTCTTCTGAGGATCACTGTGAATCCCAGGTAGGTACATAAATTGTTTTAATTATTTTGTTACTTTAATTTCATTTAATTTTTTGTTTAGTTTTATTAAAATGGAATTGAATTTGCAGGGGAAAACCTCGTTTATATCACAAGGGGGGCTCAACCAGCTCAACAATTTCATATTTGTGTTAGCAGTTATGCAGATTGTGTATACTGTTCTCACCATGGCTTTAGGAAGGGCCAAGGTATGCTTTTTTTTTTGTTGCCATAAATATATTATGTGATTGGACAGAGTCTGATGGCTCTCACCCCAGTAAACAATACAAAATTATAACTTGGATGTATGCATTATGTATATGTAACACGACGTCTAGAATTGTCTTTTACTTTTGTCCGCTAGAAAGCTCCCAGTGGGCACGATAGTCGTTCGTCAAAGAATTATTCATCTATATACAGTAAAGGGTAGAGAATGGTAAAACATTCAAAATACCAGAAAATGTCATTGGTTAATGCAAATATCAAGAATTGAAATTATTAATTAAATGATGATAATATGGTAAATTCACACTTTTTCATATTTAAAAAAATAAAAATAAAAAGAAAAATCAGAAAATGGATCATATTTTATGGAATACAACTACTTATTATCTTTTTTTAATTCTAAAATAAATTTAAATTTTAAAAAAAAAGTCTCTCGCACACGCGGAAGCGCGTGCGGAGAAGCTAGTAGGAAACTAAAAATGTATTTGGAATTGGTTGGGGTGTCCAGATAAAAAACAAGGTTGGGTGTGCTTAGAATCACCCAAAACAAATCTGCATGAGTCTCAACCATATAGGTCATAAGCCCACCCCAATGTAGTTTACTAATTGCGAGTCATTATTTAATCCAACGATTAAGAGATAAGACATCATCTAATAAGTCCTGCACTATAGAATTCTACTACTAACTACAACCCTATCAACAACCTCACCGACCATGTTTCAGCTAATGCAATATTTTTAAACTTCTAGAAACTGACTCTTTGTACCATTTTAGATTGCATTCCAACCTGAAACATTTAACAGTGTTTTTGCTTACATTGAAAATGTTGCACTTGGGTGTGTGAAGTCAATTTATGCCACCCCATTGAAAACTTAGATTAGTAGGTAACAGCCCAAAAAGATGCATTAAGATTCGGATCACACACCACTGCCCTACCCAAATTTTAAATTAGTCCAAGTGTCATTCCAAACTAGTCAACGAAAAATAGTAGGCTATTGGTGTTACATATTATTTTATTACATGGTCATAAAATAATATGTGGTGGTCACTTGTGAGTTACACGAGTTAAGAGCCACTTAATTTTAAATAATTTTTTACATTTTTTTTTTTGTGACTTAATGACAGATGAGGCGTTGGGAAGCATGGGAAAAAGAAACTCAGACGGTGGAATACCAAGTTGCAAATGGTAATTTAAGATAATAGAGGAGGGCATTCGAACTTGAAACATCGTTTAATATTAATGACATATCGTTTAATTCGAACAAACAAATAGTTTTTCCGGCATTATATTTCAATATAATACAGCAACTAATTCAACCTTTCTTTTCTCTCTCATTTTTTTTCCTATAGATCCTAATCGTTTTAGGTTTACAAGGCAGACCACATTTGGTCGTAGACATATGACTTCTTGTACAGGATCAGGAATGTGGATTGTGAGTTTTTTTATTTTTTTTAATTTTTTTAATTTTATTAACACATATGCAGCTCTCATGAATCATGATGAGGTTTTATTATAATTAATTAATTAGTTGTTAATTATATACATGCAGAGGTGCTTCTTCCGGCAATTCTTCCATTCAGTGGAAAAAGTTGATTATCTCACTTTACGCCACGGCTTCGTTTCAGTGAGTATAAATAAATCAATATATTTATATACAAATTAAAATATCTCATTCAATTATTTTTTATTTATTTTTCTTTCTTCTTGTGATCATTGTTGATAACAAATTTTTCAGACTCATCTGCCCACAAACAATAATGCTTTCAATTTCCAAAATTACATTCAACGTTCGCTGGAGGACGATTTCAGAGCTGTTGTTGGCATCAGGTTGGCTATTCTATCCATAACCCTAAAATTATTTCTAACACATATTTATGATCACATCGTTCACATAAATATACGAAGACTGTTGCTAAACGAACCCTAAAATTAACTGAGTACACCATAATATTTATATCAAAATATAAAATTAACTAAGTACACCCTATTTAAGTACCAAAAATACCCATGATATACAAATGAAATAATTGAAAATATTTATTCATAAAACTAAAATATATAAAAACCTACCCAGCCCTTCACCCTCCCTCTCCTCCCACAACTGCCTCCACACCCAACCCCCATCCGCGGCCCGCCCATTCCTTCCTCCACCACCACCCATCTCCAAGTTCTACACCCTCCCTCCCACACATCCCTTTGTACCTAGCCCCACCCAAGACCCCGAAAATTTATCAAGGTACCCAACCCCCTGCCGTACCCCCAGATTATCATCTTGACCATCGTACATCGAGTGGGCTAGCACTTGTATTCTTTTATTCATCATGTCAACTAAATCCAAGACAGTGCCATTGCCATCTCAATCAATCTCAAAGAGCTTTCCTACTTATATGAGCCAAATTCATGTCACCATGCTATTTGGCTTGCCTGGGTGTGTTCCCATGGAAGATGAATGTTGCTCTCTCTTGAAATTAAGTATAAATGAAGCCAAGGTGCCAGGGTTTCTTTTGTTTTTTTGTTTTTTTGTTTCTTGTTTTTGTTATTTTTCTTTTATTAGTTGCATACTGAAATCAGTATGAGATAACATTTCTTTGATTAGGGTTGAAGATGGTAAGTAGGGTGTACTTATTAAAATTACATTTGTTTCACAATTAAATATATCCTTTTTGGTCATTTTATATTAGGGTAAATTAGTAATTCAGTAAATAGTTTGGCAGTAGGGTGTATTCAGTTAATTTTAGGGTTTGTTTAGCAGCACTCATATACGAATCCTACATTGCGTGAGATGCATAGTCACAACGTGATAAATTATAAATGTGATTGAGTTGTATATAAATCCACCGTATTACTAACTACATCTCTCCTAAAGATTAAATTCAACTTCTAGGGTCTATTCCTATAAAGTTGAATCTAATCAGTAATGCGATCGGTAATTAAATTAAAATGATACATGCAGCGTTACTAGAATTATATATATTTGTATTGTTGTGCCCATATGAACCAATATTACTCCTTTTATAACAACTTAATTACCATATTATTAAATTAATTCATGTTGGCTAATTGTGTGCGTACATCATTTGACAGCCCATTCATGTGGTTTATAGTCGTCATCTTCATCTTTCTGGACGTGCATGGTAAGTAATTAAGCACCATCCAAGTCATTTACTTCTTTAATTAATAAAAATAACTGAATTAATGGTATTAACATTATGAACTTAATTAATTAAACAGGTTGGCAGGTGTATCTCTGGGTTTCATTCTTGCCACTAATTGTATGTACCAAGTCTAAAGCTTAATTAAACTCTCTCTCTTGCTCATCATGTTCTTACTTAATTACTAATTGTTCTCTTAATTAGTAGCTAATTACGTATTATGTGTTGGTAGATAGTGCTGGTTCTTGGAACCAAACTTGAAGTAGTAGTTGCACAAATGGCTCATCAACTTCATGATCAGCATAACGTGATAAAAGGAACTCCTTTGGTGCAACCAAAGGACAGTCACTTCTGGTTCAGTCAACCACAGTTCGTCTTGACCCTTGTACATCTCACTTTGTTTATGGTATAATTGATCTTCTTCGTGATTAACTCCATAACTAATGCTTGATTACCCTAAGTTAATTCTTATGGTCCGATCATCCGACTAATTTGCTTTCATCTTCTACAGAATGCATTTGAACTTGCTTTCTTCATTTGGGTCACGGTGCGTCGCTATTTCAACTTGAACTAATCATGTTCGTTTTATTTAGTAATTTAAAATGTCCATTTACAAACATTATGTTATCATATTGTTAATTTGAACCAAACTATTAATCATATGAATTTTTATATGAATTTGTGTTCGGATTAACAATGTGACAACATAACACGTCAAACTGTTTAGTAAAAGAACATTATTCGTGTTTAGTTCACTTAAACATTTTCTTTACCTCTCTCTTTTCTTATTAACTTCAGCTACAATTTGGGATACACTCTTGCTACCACGAACACATACAGATTATCATTATACGGGTGGTCTTAGCGTAAGTGCCATGCTCATCTTCCATGGTGTGTTTTAATTACTCTTCATTTACATATGTTGCCACTACACAGATTTGGTAAAATTTTAAATCAAGCTGCCTAATTAATTGTTGATGAATTTCTGCAGGGTCACTGTTCAAGTGATGTGCAGTTACATTACTCTTCCACTCTATGCCCTAGTGACTCAGGTATGCATTCCTACAGACATGAACATATAAGTTTTTTCTCTTGTCGGATAATATGTTACATTGTGTTCTCAAAGGATTAATTTGAACCTCGCGTCCCAACAAGCCCTATATTGCCAAAGGTTAAATTAATAGTTTCGATAACATAACATGTCAGATTGTCTAATAAGAAAGCATTCTTATTTCCTGCAGATGGGATCAAATTTCAAGAGTGCAGCAGTGCTTGAAGAGGAAACAACAAATGTTATAAAGCAGTGGCACGCTGAAGTGAAGAAAAAGAGGAAAAAGAAACAAGACTCTTCACAATCTGGCCATGACGAAGATTCTACTACTGTAGGAAGCAGTAGGGGAATCATGAACTCCCCGGACTCCTCTTCTCATCGCCGGCAGCTAACTTTCGCGGAAATCACCCAAAATTTTCCTGGAAAAACTGAGATTGTTGACGACAACCAAGAAATTGTGGAAGATCATCAACAAAGAGTAGGGCAAAATGAAATTGAACTAGCTAGTAATGTTTCATCTAGTGAGGTACATATAGAAATGCCGGAAGTGACCGCAAAACAAACTTGAACAAAAACTCTTTTTTTTGTTGACAAAATACCTATATAAGCAAAACAAAAGCACATCAAAGCAAGTATGATAAATTGGATTATTCCATTAGAGGATTGTGATTTCTCAAATCAATTTGACCATACCTATATAATTGCTAGTTTTTTTTTTTCCTTAATATTTCGAGTACTTTGTTATCTACATGTATATATTTTTTGTTACATTGGGAGGAAAGAAACCTTGGGGTTTCAATCTTGGGTGCCAAGTAAGGGGGGAAGGGGGGAGGGCCACAACAACTGTGGTAACCCCCATTCGACTTATCCATGTGTATCTTTTAATTGATGGCCAAGTCGGTAACTTTTATAAAATAAAATAAAAAATCTTTTAAAAAGAAGAAAAACTTTACTGCAGAAAAGAATTGTAATCTTTATCCTGGTTCAATGAAAAGAAATACATGAGCAATTGAGCATGTTGATGGGCTGGGCATCTTCCCACCAAATCGAACCAAGAAGAAGCCGTAGAATTAATTTTAAGAATTTTAGATCATAAGATTGGAAAGTTTCGAACTTAAGATCACTGGTCTACAAATTAAAGTCATCTTTCGCTAGACTAGATCTTGTTGGCAATCAATTGATACAGTTTTAAAAAGGTGTTTGATATTTATATATTAAAAAAGAAATAGTAAGTAAATAAGATTAAAAATCTTTACATAATGAATGACTTTGAAAAAGTGACGAAAGGCAAGAAGCATCAATCTCCGAAAAGAAAGCTGCTAGAAGAATCAACATGCAACGCAGTACAAGATATGAGACAAGAGCAGTGCCCATTTGCCCATTTGCCCATTTGCAGACAATAAATGGAAAGGCCCACAGGCCCAAAGGCAGATCGAAAGCACCAACCATTTTGGTGTGAAAATCAATCAATCAATCAATCAAATTTGGTGCGACAAAACATAGTTAAAGTTGGAGACCCACTTGTGATGAAATTATTAAAAACATGTTGGAGCTTAGTTTTCAGCCTTATTTGACTCAGATTGTTCTTGTTGGGGCACCCATTGCTGCGACAAACTTACCTTAAGCTTTGGTGGTCAGAAAGTTTAAGAAAATTGCGAGAGATGGCTTTTAAGTAATTGTCTTTTTTGTGTGTGTTTATTTTATCAACCAATATTTTCAAAAGTTATAAATAATGTAATTATTCTGCAGTCATACTTCTATTTCATTGCCAGTCATGGAGTTGAATGTGACTCCAAATTTAGACATTGGAATCTCGAAGGTGATGGACTTTGAAATAATCAAATTTTTGCTATAAAGATGGGAATAAGTATTCTAACCACTTGAGCTAGAAGACTTCTACGAAACATTTAACAACATAATTTAACTATAAGCTTAGGATGTTTGAAATCGAACGAGAACATGCCATGTGATGAAGTCCTTTTCGGATTTTCTTTAAAGCAGTTAATCTTCAATTCTAAATGAGATTTGTTCTATCTACATATATTCATGAATCATGACTCAGTCTTCCCTTTCCTGCCCACACATCTCTCAAATCATGGTCGCATAAAAAAGGGCTCATTGGTTCCTACATGTCTGATGAATTCCAAAACACACATATATATCCAAGCATAAATAATATTTATTTAGGATTAATTTGTTAAGTACTATGTAAGGGAATGGAAACAAATTCTTTATCATACCCTATATATGCTGGAACATCGTACCAAAATGTGGCTTTTGGTGGCATGCAGCAGACCAGACCAGCCAGACCAAATTGGCCCCTTGATTCAACCTTAATTAAACTCTTCTTCTAAAAATTATAGAAGGGATTAGCTGCCAACAGGCTGTCCTCTCTGGAATTTACTTTTTTTGTTTTTTTTTTCAATATCAAACTCTATACGATTTGCTGCCTGCCTGTTAGTTACTGATACATGACAATTGCATTTCAATTTTTTTGAAGAAAAAAGAAAGAGACTTGGAAATCATAGAGATCTTTTTAGGGAGAAAAACTTAGTCGCAACAACGGGGATAACATTGTTGCTATCCCCGGTCAATAATGTTATGTTACGTTTGAAGTGTTCTCACACGTGTTATAGTATTACTGGTCGGAAATAGCAAAATAATATTTATCCCCGTTTTATGAAAGTTGTTCTCCATTTTAGGAGGGTACGTGCCAATTATAAAAAAAATTATAGAGAGAAGTTATTATGATGTTGATTTTAGTTTTTGAGTTGCTGCACATAAAATTATATATCAATTTTCATCTACTACTACTTGTAGGTTTTCGAATCAGGTGATATAGATTGGGTGTAGGCCCTACTTGGCTCTTGTTTAATCTTTCTTTTGTCAATCATCATTAAGTGATAATAGAGAGTCTAAAACAAATCTTAGCTCCAAACAACAATATCTTCTTATCTATAATTGTGTTTTAATTAAATTTAGTATTATCCATAAAGTATGATGACTCTGTGGTCACCTTTTCTTTCTTTTTCGATTGTTATCCGTGACTCTTGTTGTGATGCCCAAAATGCAAGCTTGTAATCATGGCATGGGGATACCATTTGCCTCCCTAAACCCTTTTGTCTTTTGGATGGAGAAACAAACAAGTAATTAACCAACAGATCTCTAGCTAGAGCCCTTCAAAATATATAAGATCTCCAACACCCAAGATACATATTTTACCTTTTCTCCCTCTCTCTCTCTCTCTCTCTCTCTCTCTCTTTTCTTTGTCAAACAAATGATTAAATGTCAAAAGTTAAAAAATTAATATCAAGCAAATATAGCTTAAGCTTACAAAATATTTTATAAATACTTATGTCAAACGCATAATAAAAGTGTAACACATTAAAACAAAAAGCATATTTCATAAAGATAATATGCTACTATAACATGTTAAAACGTGTTTGAAGAGTACAGTACGTAACACGACGCGTTAAGTAAACATAACATTGAAGGAATGCTAACCCAGATAATAGTTTTCTTTTCGCTTTTTGGATCAAAAGCTAATAGTATTCTAAAAACAGGTTTTTAGTTTTACTTTAAGTACTTAATACAGTGAAGGAATGAGAAGGTAATTCGAATATTTCCGGAAGCGGAAAACCCCACCAATTTTGGTGGGCATGTCAACCAGCCCTCATCTTTGGCTGGCCCTTGCTAGCTACTAGCTGCTAGTAGGGTCACACCTGTGTCATTATAGCAGAGAGAGAGAGAGAGAGAGAGGGAGAGAGAGAGCAGACATGGACATATGAGAAAAGGGTACGATGAATGCGGGAAACAAAGAAAGAAAGAAAGATGATGATCATGAGAAGCCAAAAAGCTAATTAAAGTTAAAAGAAAAGACCAACGACATCAACAGACAAACACAAATTGATTAAAGTCGAAAAACAAACAGTAACAGTACTGATGTGATGACCATACTCAGAGAAAGAAAAGAAAAGAAAAGGAAAGAAAAGAAAAGAAAAAAGATATGTGGATGGAGTGAGTTAATTTGGTCAGTTTTTTTTATTTGTGACTAGTATTTGTCAAGCTGTGAGTGGAAACAGCAGAAAAAGCAACCGGCATAACTCTCGAGGGTTTCTTTCATCTCTCTTCATCTCTTCTCTCTTTTTTTTTTCTTTCTGCAGATACAACAAGTAAATCGACTGCAGCCCTAGCAGCTGATGAAATGAACCTGCCTGATGACACACAAATATCAAACCCTAGAGGATGACACTTGGGCTGTGCCTTTTAATAAAGTCATTCTAATTATATTAGGCGACAAAACCCTCGCTGTGACATCTCAGTATCTGAATCATCATGTCAACCAGCTTTTCTTTTCTTTTCTTTTCTTCTTTTTCCTTTTTACACATTTAACACACTCACCTCACCATCTATATATTTTATCATTCTATCAATTAATCATCCTATTCCTAGCTACATGCTTTTTATTTTATTTTATACATGTTTTAAAGTAATGAAGTTTGGAGTTAGTATCTTAACCCTAAAGTATTCACCTAAGGTATGCATGTGCATTTGTTGTTAGTATCTTAACCCTAACGCTAAATGATGAATTCAAAACACGGTGCAAATAGTGTTAATTTGGGTAAATTCGATATATCACAATAGCATGTCATGCGGTGTATCAAATACACCCAAATATTCTTCTAATTAACTTATGTAAAGTCAAATCTGACTGGTTGTTCGATCGGTTTGGCCGGTTTTCGGTCCCAGATGCCCAGCCTAGTACAAAGATATTAGACATTGGGCAATTCATGTGCGGCAATAATGGAGGATGGGGCAATCGTATACTCCGCCAGTGGAAATGATAGTTTCTTTCCACAATAGTTGTACATTTTTTATATTATTACAATTACCATAGAAACCTAAGTCATGCAAACTCCTGATAAATTAAGCGGTTTATAATTGTATTTAGATCCTCCTCAGGGTTCCAGATATAGTGCAAAAATATACAATCTGAAATTGACATATATGTACCTGCATCAAAGTTACAAAAGGTAAAGATCGGGCTGTAAATTTATTTTCCGTTTAAGGTTCTTTTGGTATATCCCGATTCGGACCAAGCCGAACAAGTCTGGTATCTACATAGTCCCAGCCCAAACGGAGAGACAAACAGTCTCTGTGATGTCCATTTTGAAATTGTCTTTTATCCTTTTCTTAACACGTGAACCCATGAGAGATTAAAACAGTCTCTGTAATTTTTCCTCTTTCATATTTTTCAGATTAAAACTCGACATGTTCGAAAATACAATACTTCGAGGATCTTCTTCGTTGTTTAAAAATAAAATAAAAAAGAACATTTTTTTATTGATGCATATACGTACAAAAAAAGGGTTAGGTAACTTAGGTCCCAAAGTGAGATCCAATTTCAAAATTAAATGCATGTCATCACTAGCGGAACTACTCCAATGACTTAGGTGGGCTGTAGCACAGTGAAGTATTTTTTTTGTCGCATTTAATATATATTTGTTTTATGTTAAAGTTTATTGAAAATTAGTCAATGAAGCTATGAACTAGTGTGATTTACATGATTTAATGTATACTTTTATTTATAAAAAGACTATAGAAACGGTAAGTACAAAAAAATTTGATCATTAAATTTTATGCTAACAACTTTAACTAGTCCACCCGTTGAAAAATTCCTGGTTCTATCCTTGCATGTCATCATACATCAATGTTAATGGGAATG